AAAAAAAAAAGAGAGAGAGAAAAAAAGCAATTGAGGATCATAGTGGCATCACAGTGCAAAAGGAGGATCCCAGCAGCCCTGTGGGGCTGCCAAGAAGCGCTGCTCAGACTGACCTTCTGAACTTTGTAATATTCGGGCATAGGGTTGCAGTAAAAATTAATGTCCATCCTATAGTTAAAAACCCTCGGAGCCATCGCTCTGGGCAACTTTAGCCTGCATGCGGCTTAAACGTATAGGAAAACAAGATCAATCTTTCCCCAGTGATGTGAAGGTGCCTACCAGATAACAGAGATGTTTGTAAAGCATCCAAAATAAGCAATAGGCAGTGCCAATAAATAAACCTATTAACGCGGTAAGTTATATTTTACGATCCAGAATGCTTTTCGGAATAACAGCCGCGCTGAAATGTGCCATCTATGAACTGCTATCAAATTAGACTGATGAATGCACCACGAATATCCTTCAGCGTCTACACTGGATAACAGGGTTGTTATTTATTCATTTGCCTATTTATTTCCCTTCCTGATCCTCATGGCAGAAAGGAGAAAGGAACTCCCTTTCCCTGGGCTACAGGCTTTTCAGGTGCTTTCTTTCTGCAGCATTTCAGACGCCCTGTTATTCCTTCAGGCCTCCCGTTGAAAAATAATTTGGGGGGAACAAAAAGCAAGTAGAAAGCAACTAGAGAATCAGCCCCAACATCACGAACCATTCTGAGTCTTCGAGGGATCGGTATTATTCATTCCCATCCGCTTTCAATAATAGGAAGAAATCTGCTGCAAAGGGGAATTTTTGAGATTTTTTTTTGTTTTATTTCTTTTCCTCCATGAAATCGTTTGGAAGCAGGGAGGCAGGAGGAAGCTCTGCGGGAAGGCAGGGACTAGAGGCAGGAAGGCTCCGGCTCCGCAGCTCACCCTGTTTTGTGCCACTGGAGCACACTTAGGGAGCTCAGATCCGCAAGTTTTGCTTTTTCTTTTTGGAAACAGGTGCTTGGAGGAGGCGAAGGGGAAAATGCCCCCAGAGTAGCCACTAGGCCGCTCCCAGAAGTGTAGGCTGAAGAGGGGACCGGCAAATGGCTGTTTTGGGGGGCCGAGATGAGCTGCACACCAGACACCTTTTCCTAGAATTTTGGGTCAAAAGCAGCCTTTTTTTTTCTTTTTCTTTTTTTTTTTTTTTTTTTTTTTTTTTTTTTTTTTCCCCCTCTCAGCGGTTTCTCGGCTTTTCGGAGCTGTTTTAGGCTCAGGGAAACGAGGTTCCCCCCTACGCGGCCTCCCTACGCTTAAGCTGCGCCCGGGGCCGCATCTCGAGCAGCCCCTGCTCACACGCTCTTCCCCACCTCTCCCTTCCCAGTTCCTGGCCTCCTACCCGCTGGTAATGTCCCTCTTTTACTTTCTTAAAACTAGGCAATTCAAAAGGAGAAAATGCAGCAAACTGGCTAACCGCAAAAAGTGGCCGAAAGAAACGGTGCCCCTATACCAAGCATCAAACTCTCGAGCTGGAAAAGGAGTTTCTGTTCAATATGTACCTGACTCGTGAGCGTCGCCTAGAGATCAGCCGCACAGTCCACCTCACAGACAGACAAGTTAAAATCTGGTTTCAGAACCGCAGAATGAAACTGAAGAAAATGAACAGAGAGAATAGAATTCGGGAGCTCACAGCCAACTTTAATTTCTCTTGATGAACCTATAAACACATCTTTATGGTTTAAAGAGCCAGTATCATTTTCCTAGGCTGTAGACATCTGCACCTGTATGGATTAACTATTTTAGACGTTCTCAGTATGTCCTTAGCCTCTTTATAGCTGTTTCTGGGCAAGGTGGGAGTGAGGGTGAACCGTGCTAATTCACAAAATGCCATGTATGAACTTGCCTCATTCCTTTAGATTTCCCGGCTCTGAATTATGCTTTTTTATTTTTTTTCCTACAAACAAAGAAATATTATTTCAAAAGCTGCAAATATCATTCCACTCTATATCCCTCTGAAAAGTAAACAGGTTCAGTTAAAAGCACATTCCTTTAAATTATAGGTGATGTAACTTGGACTGTATGTACCCTCGGAGTGAATAATTTAAGTCTTGCCATATTTCCATATATTGAGCACTCAGCTTTCCCCTCTCTGTTTCCCTTTTCTCCTCCCTCCCCTCTTTTTCCTTCGAAAAACGGGATTTACAGTAATGATGTGCAGTCGTGCTTTAAAAGGGCTTCATGGGCACTGGTGTTAGGAGCATTTCCCCCCCTTYACCTTAAAAGTCAATAATACAGCTGTAAATTTGGCCAGGAAAATGAAATCTCTTCTCTTTAAAGGTATGAAAGAGTTCGTGTTTCTTATGGACTAAATTATGACACTTACCTCTGAAATTTTCTCTTTCTGGTTGTAGATATTCACTTAACGTGGTTTTGCTTACATATGTGGAATTAGTGAATTTTTGTCTATAAATAATGTTACCGAAGGTAACACAGGACAAGCACACAACATTCCCCTCTATAGAAAAAAAAAATCCTCACAAATTTCATTCAAAAGTGTCTATCCTGAACATCAGAAGGACTTTCTGAGCCAGAGTCTAAGATAGCGGGGGAGAATATGTTCGTCTTCCATTATACTGTGAAGTTACATGTATTAAAGGATCAAATATATAGGTAGAAAGAAAGAAGGAAAGAAGAAAAGAAAGAAAGAGAAAAAAAATGAAAAAAAAAGAAAAAGAAAAAAGAAAAAAAGAAAGAAGGGGAAAAAATATAAATACAGATATGTATAAATGTCTATTATTATGAAAATGCCGATACTGTTTTAAGCAAATGCATTCTATCGTTATTATAAATGTTAGTTCTAGCTATATCTAGTTCTTACCTTAAATCGGAATAAATTAATATTGTAATGCTGCTGTGCGTGAAAAAAAGACGATGTTTATGTTCTCATAGAAGAATAAAAACGTGGAATGAATCCTTTTAATTTTACCTCTTTTTGTGACTGTTTATCCTCAGGTTCTACTTTATGTCTTCGAGAACTTTTACAACAGGAATAGTTGCCTAAACCCCCTGCAATTACTTTAGGAATCTATTTAAATATTACCTAGACGGTCGTAATTTGTCTGGGCCATATAGCGATGGTGCTCTAAGGTTTGTCGGCTTTTGTTCAGTTTTATGACTTGCTAGTATATCTGGATTGTTGCTGTCTTGAACGAGTGGTTTCAGTTGACTGAGGAGCTGCATGGACTGAGGAAGCAAATTACTATTTCGTGAGGGTAGGGAACCCTTTTTTTTTTTTTTTTTTTTTTTAATCAAACACCTACAAGTGTGTGGAGATCTTTAACTCCAAAGGACAATGAGAAATAAAAAATCCAGCTTTATCTCAGGGCTCAGAAGAATCTGTGAAGGTGAGCACATGGGCAGGGGGGACCGMACTCTCCCTGCTGCCACCGGACCGCTTGCAACCCCCTCAGACAAGGCTGTGTACCCCTACCTGGCTGCATGAGGACGAGCTTATTTAACCAATGCTGCTTTTTGCATCCTCCCTCCCTTCTTTGCTGCATGTTTATCTAGCGGGGTCGTGCACAAAGGGAAGGCAAAACGAGGGCTGGGATAAGAGCGACAGCTAATGCTTTCTTCCAGGCTATGTGTGCGCTGGGAGGAGGAGGAGGAGGAGGGGGGATAGACTTTGAACCCGGGCTTATTGGGAGCCGTTAGCTTTTTATGATGTAACATTGTCGTGCACGGCCTTTTCTTCCCGTTTGCGTCYGCATGGAGAGGCGAGGGCTGCCCGTAGGGGAGGTTATGAGGATATTTCTCTTGTTTTCATTAATGCAGCAGGGCTGGCTGGGGGGTGCGAGGGGAGCGCGCGGGCTGCGCGGGCGGGCGGCAGGTTTGTTTTAGTCACGTTTCTGGTTTTATTTTCGTAGCGGGATCCTTGCGTTAAAGACCACGGCTATGGGGAAAGTAATAATTAGCGCCTGCGAACTGCTCTGTGGTTTAGGTAGTTTCATGTTGTTGGGGCTCCAGCTTTCTCTCTACAGCACGAAACTGCCTTAATTACTTCAGCTGATATCATCACCAGGTATGCTTGGGGCGAGGGTCCTTTGTGCCCGAAGAAATCTTAACACTGAAGTTATCTCTAGGCGTCAAGTCCCAATGCCACTGCTTCCCATCTGCAACGGAGGCTCCTGTGATTCCTCAGAAGGGGAAGCTTGACAAGTTCTTCAAGGTTAGATAGCACCTAGCGAATCCTTGCCTGCTTATGGGATTTTAATATCTCTTGCGGGCTGCATTCAAGGTCAGGTGCGTTTTGGCATTCTGCTCCGTGTGGGTCGAGCTCCGGTGGGGGCGGTGGTTGAGGGCAGTGGGGGGATGTTTTATTTGTTATCTTTGTGTGGATTTATTAAGGAAAAAAATAATAACTGAGGTTCTCTGCTGCCTGGTGCGGGCAGCGAGATCAAGTGTGCGTCACGGCGGGCACCTGCGCGGCCAGGCCTCGTGCTTGGCCGTGCRCGTTGCCCTCGCTCTCCTCCTCCCCATCGCGGAGCTCGCTCGGTGGCTGCGGGCCCGCCCGCCCGCGGGTCCCGCTCCGACGGGGCGCCCCGCGCTCGGCGGCCGCGGCCCGCAAGGCCTCGGTGACGATCACGACCGCTGCGCGCCCGCGGGCCGCGCTCCGCCGCCGCGGAACGGGCAACAGCGACCTCTCCGGGCCCGCCACCGCCGCCGCCGCCTTTGTGTCCGCCGCGCGCCCCGGAGCCCGAGCGGCCCCCGGCTCCTCTCGCCCGCCGCGCCAGCGGCACCGCGCCCGCCTGGCAGGGATGGGGGAWGCCGGCGGGGGGCTCCATGCTTGTATACAAGGCAGAAAAATTATATGTAATAGAAAAATAGCATGGAAAAAAAAAAACACATTTTTGTGTGTTTTTATCTTTTTCTTTTTTTCGATGATATTTTCCTCTTCCAAAAGATGTGTTTTTCTACAAACTCGCAGCCGAGCTGCAGGAACTCGGAGCAGTCTGGAAAGTGGAGTTTAACTGGTGCCCTAACTGGGTCCTTGTAGAAAGGGATGCCTTGCCCGGAGCAGAAGCAGATCTTTGCCTTGCGTCTGCCTCACCATACACTGCGCGTCTGACGGGCGTATCTGCTTTGTCTGTGTACATATAGGGAGTATATTAATGGTATATGTGTGTACATGTCTTCCTGGATAGCCCTTGCACGCAGGTTTGCCTCTGTGCTGTGTTTTCCATTTGAATCATGTCACGCGGATTTTGAACCGCATCCCTCAAAACCTGAATCTTTTTTTTTTCCTCCTGACGTCGGTGCCAAAACATCTCTGTGTACCTGCAGAACGGACGAGGCGGTATGAGGCCGTTTGCCATGTCAAGAGACCCCGAAAAAGAAAAAAAAAAAAAAAATAGAGAGAGACGAGAGAGAAAAAAAAGGCGATCCTGAACTTCCAGTTCAATAGAGATCGCAAAAGCTGCAGAACCCCCCCTAAAGCCCCTAGCCTGTGTACTCGCTCTGCTAATGAAATAGCACTTACTGATGCCCCTTACTTCCCAAAGACGACATCCTTCCTGTTGCAGTGGAGAATAAATGCCACCGGGACTGCAGCTTTCCTAATTTGATTATGCCGGGATGGAGGTCAGGGAGGATTTTTATTTAGCCAGGATCGCCGAGAGAGGGCTTCATTCCTGGCTATTCCAAGCTCACATTGCAATTTGACTTGAACTTTTTTTTTTTTTTTTTTTTTTTTTTTCCTGCTTGTGGTCTGTTGCATCTGTGTAACTCATCGTGATCCTTAAACAGTTAGAAACGCGGATTGTACGAGGCTAATGTCGCTTTCATGAGTCGCGGGGCCCGCATGTAGAATACACTTCAGAAAAACTCGCTGTAAAAGGACTGGAAGAGCGGCGAAAGATCGGGTGATATTATCAAAATCTTGACCGCGTGAAAAATGTCCACAGTTATTTGCTAAATTTTAACTCTTCCTTTCTGTACCYCCCCTCCCGACGCATGCTGGCAGTGAAAAAAAAAAATAGAGAGAAATAAAAATCCAGACACGTTCTTTTAAATGTTATTGTTATTGTTATTCATTTGCTATTATTTTTGGTGAGGAACCAAAAAATGAAACCCACTGCAAGTTGAGAACCCAAATTCGAATATAAACATCCAGGACTCCTGCAGCTAAGATTATTTTTTTTTCTGAATGGAAAAAGGAAGTTCTACAATCACATTTCACCACAGCTGACTCTTAATAATAAATACAAATGACGTGGAGTTCCGTCTTTCCAGGAAAGAAATACATTTTTTTCCTACTACGACGTGTCCTTACAAAGGCAAAAAAAAAAAAAAAAACAGTCGAGGAGATACTTATTTGCATGTTTTAAATTGTTAGAAAATAATGGGCTACTTGTTTGTGAAAACCTTGTTCCTTATTTTTTTTAACTGCAAGGGGGGATAATAGTTTCATTATGGGCCTTTACAATCCAGAACGGGGAGAGGGAGGGTTGTTAATATAGGATGTCTGAAAGATTTCTGATTAAACTGTTGGGAAGACATTAAAAGAAAAAGCAAGAGAGAAGGAGAGAGGGGGAGAGAGAGCGGCAGACAGAGAGAGACAGCCCACATAGCGCTGTAAAACTAATTAGAACCACACTTTTGCATGCACAATATTTACACGTGATTTTAATTATTAGCCCGGCGTCCCTACCATTTGTTGGGGTCTATTTTCAACAACAACCAAAAATCTTTCGAGTAAATTGAGCCTCTTACGGAGGATTTCTTCCCCACTGCATCCCATTGACCACACTTCTTCGCAAACAACAGGCAATAAACAGCGTGCACGTCGGCCGCAGAAAACCCCGAAGTCCACAGTCATATTTGCAAAATGTCCAGCGACCGCTTCAATCCATAGCACTGGACTTGCATCTGGCCGCCTCTTACTTTCCCCCGCGCGCCCTCCCCTCCTGCTGCAGAGGGCTGTAACCCTCCGCTGGGCTCCTCATGCGGCTGCTCTGCGTCCTGGAGGCAAAGGACGTGCCAGCAAACAAATAATTACATTTGCACATAAATTTAATTCACCGGGATGCGGCATAAGCGGCACAAGCGAGCGCCCTTTTTATAGCCACCGCGACAAGCAGGGTGCCTTTCGGCAGCGGGCAAAGGCTGCGCTTTTTTTTTCTCCCCGCTTTCCCCGCGCTGCTTTGGCGCATGTTTAAGCCCGGGGCGGCTGGATCCGCGCGGTCGCCCTTTCTCCGCTCCGAGCCGCCGCTCCGCGGCCCTGGCCCGCGCAGCCCCGCGCCGCGGAGCCGCCGGGCCGGCCAAGGGCACGGGCGGCCGCGGGGATGCGGGGCGGGGGGTGGGAACGGGGGGTCGGTCACTGCCGCTCCCGGCGTGCGGGGCAGCGCGGTCGGGTGCGCAAGACCCGCGGGTCGGCCGCGACTTCGGCGGCGGAATAAAATAAGTTAAGTTTATAATAATAGTAATGAAAAGAAAAAGGTGCGGATTTGCCGAGTCCACGGTGAAAGGAGCTCCCGTCGTCGTCCCCCCGGCCGGGCCGGCGAGGGCAGACAGTGCCGAGCCGTTTCGGGAAGAGGATATGCTGAATTTGACTTTTCCTGGGCAGCTCCAGTTAGCTCTGAACTCAGCGGAACAGTATTATTTACAGTTAGTTCCCAAACTAAACACAATAGTATAATTTAACCTTTCCAAGCACTCGTAAATTTTTACTGCTGCGGAACACAGCAATGCAAATGAGTACGCTCATAGTTACTGACTTAATAACAACCCTGTGGCTCCTGAAACAATAACTCCTTATGAAATATAATAAATRTATATTTAAATACAGTATGCTGCAATTGCTATTTTGCTTTTCTTTTATTGCTTCAATTATTGTATAATTTTATGTGGAGATCTCCGATCAGAAGGATTCTTTTTATTGTATTTTTTTTCACAGGGAACACGACCCACTGATGGGATGATTAATTATGATATAAAATAGTCCGCTTAGGGAAAAAAAAAAGGGGGGGGGGGCGAGGAGCAAGGATTGGGGGGGCGCGCGGAAGGCGATCTTTTAATCTCAGCTGGCCGCAATTAAAACAAAACCCCCGCCGCATAAACTCGAATATCCCTTTGCATAAAAACATATGGCCTCGCTATAAAAATTACGGCTGGAAAACACTGGCCCATTAATAGCCCGCGGACTGATTTATACTTTATTGTTCTGCTCGCCCGCCACGTGACGCGCGCAGCCAATGGGCGCGCGGGCGGCCTCCAACTTATTAGTGACTCTACTTGTTCCCCGGGACCGAGTAGTTGCGGGCGAGGCGCGGGCCCCAAATTGCGGCGGCTCCGGCGCCCCGGCCATGGCGGCCCCGGGCACCCTCGGCACTTACTACGTGGACTCCTTCCTGGTGGCCGAGGGCGACGAGCTGGCTGCGCCCCGCTACGCGCCCGCGCTGCCGCCGCCGCCGCCGCCACCGCCGCGGCCGTCGGCGCTCGCCGAGCACCCCGAGCTGGCTCCCTGCAGCTTCCAGCCCAAAGCGCCCGTCTTCGGCCCCCCGTGGAGCCCCGCCGGCGCCAGCGGCGTCCCCGCCGTCTACCACCCGTACGCGCAGCACCAGGCGCCGCCCGACGGCAGGTACATGCGTTCGTGGCTTGAGCCTGTGCCGGGCTCCTTGTCCTTCCCCGGGTTACCTACCAGCAGGCATTACGGCATTAAACCTGAACCGCTGGCGGCCAGAAGGGGTGACTGTACCACGTTTGACACTCACACTTTGTCTCTGTCTGATTATGCTTGTGGTTCTCCTCCAGTTGATAGGGATAAGCAAAGCCACGAAGGCGCATTCTCTGAAAGCAATGGAGAAAGTGAGGCAAACGGAGAGAAACCCCAGATTGATCCAAGTAAGTGGCACTGCAGGGGTAATGGACTTCAGGGCGCCGCGGCGGCCGCGGGGAGGTGCCGAGGTGCGGGGCTCGTTGCGCGCCGGCTGCGGCGGCCCCCGCGCAGGGGCTGGGAAAGCCCGCGGGGTCTCTCGGGGACTGCTGGATCGGGAGCTGGGAGGGCTCCGGCTCTGCCGGCCGAGAGGGAAGCGAAAACCCACCCGGCCAAACAGCAACATCTTAGGGAAAAAAAAAAAAAAAAAGAATAGCGACCCCCAGACTCGTCCCCCCAGCACCCTCCCCGAGCAAACTCCGTGGGACGTGAGCGGACTGTGCTGAAAGGGGRCTCGGGTAGCCCCTTGAGAGGCTGGAATTTGTGGCCGCTCTCGGGCAAGGCTGTTTGTCCTGGGGCATCGAGCATCGCCGTGGCTTGATCCACCCTCAAATACCACCCCCCAACACACACCACCTCCCTCTCCTCGGTGGGCAAACCTGAATGCCCCCAGGACAGCTGAGCAGGGATAAAGGTCCTGAGCAGGCGAGGCTTTAATTACGGCAGCCCTAGGCTGAGCCGCCAGCTCCTTGGGTCTTGCCTCTGAGTACACGGCAGAAGGTCAAAATTCAGGAGAGAAAAAAAAAAAAAAAAAAAAAAAAAACAGTGGCCTGCTGGTCTGGCTGGCCACCCTCGGCTAATAACCGGAGGCTCGTGTGTGTAGCAGGGAGAGAAAGGGACAAGAGATGCAGCAGAGAGAAAGCGAGAGAGGCAGAGCAGGCAAAAAGGGATTTAAAATGGCATCCTACAAACAACTAAAATATGTAGCTACAGCGAGGGGCGGCGGGGGCTCCGCCGCGTGTGGCTGCGCGTGACCTCTYCGCGCGTCTCTATTTGGGTCCCATTGTGTCCCACCTTTCTGGATGTCTGGGTACACGAGGGGGAATGTTGCAACCCCCCATATCGGGATAGGCAGGCGCGATGCCGCCACCGCACCGAACTGCGGAGCTGCGGGGTTTTCTCCTCCTCGTCCTCCCCGCCCTCTCCCCTGAGCCTGAACTTCTCCTCTCATTTTCCTTGCAGATAATCCAGCTGCAAACTGGCTCCACGCAAGGTCCACCAGGAAAAAGCGGTGCCCCTACACGAAGCATCAAACGCTCGAACTGGAAAAGGAATTTCTGTTCAATATGTATCTCACCAGGGACCGTAGATACGAGGTGGCCAGGCTGCTCAACCTCACGGAGAGACAAGTGAAAATCTGGTTTCAGAACAGGAGGATGAAAATGAAGAAAATCAACAAAGACCGGGCGAAGGACGAATGATGGCGATACGTGGGTTTGAAAGAGAACGCATATATYAAAAGAAACAACACCAGTAAAAACAAAAATCAACAACAACAAAAAAAATTCCTCCTCTCGAGTCCTACCATACAATGCGTCTGGGTCCAGGCCTCTCTCTTTTTTTTTTTTTTTTCCTTCCCCATGGCAAATTCTGGTTATGATTGTACCTTGATTGTCACAGTAGCATGGAGGCCAGTTTGCCAGGAGAGGTACAGTAAGACTTTTAATTTTCTCATAGGAAAGCAAAAGGGGGCATTAGCACGAATAGGCTGTTTAGATGGCTTGTATAAATCTACCTGTTTCTTCACTTGCGGAAAAAAAAAAAAAGAAAAAAAAAAGGAAAAAAAATAAAACAAAAAACTACCTTTTCATAATGCACAACTATTTACGGACTGTGTAGTTTAGTCTACGTAGTTAATTTTATTCGCTCTTTGCGTGGCAGAGAGAGTTCTGCTCTAATACTTGAACACTGTGTTTTATTGTGGTAATTATGTTTGTGACTCAATTTATGTGCTTGGGTGCTGTACCGGATGTAATTGTGTAAGCTAGAATTCAATTTGAACTCAGGTTGTTTATTATAAAAATGGCATAGAGTATAGCTCTGTAGTGTATTAAGTCTTTTCTGTATAATTAGACAGTWAACCTTTGATTGTAAAAATATATATTATATATATATACACCAATTGAAACACGAAGAAGTAGAAAAAAAGGAACTTTGTCTGGGATGTCTAGGAATTACGGTTCTCAAAATATTTCGAAGCAAGTCATTTTAGTATGCGCAGTTGATATATATAGTACTGTCTTTGTCAATTGTATATATAATCTATATATTAAGAAAATAAATAAGCAAATTAGCTTAAATATTGTTTTTGCACCAGTGAGCAGTTATCAGTTTTGGGAGCTATACGTATATGTGAGAAAAATAAAAGGTAACTACCTATCGTTTACGTTTTTATTTTAATCAAATAATTTGATGGTTATTGTAATGAAGGTTAATTTTATTGATAATAAATTATACACTATGAAAACCTGCATTTGGTTATTGTAAATTTGTATCGACTATAAAAAAAAATAAATCTGGGAAGTTATGTTGTTGCAGAACGTACACTGTCTATTTTGAAATAGTTACCTCATGCCCTACTGACCAAATGGTTGTGTTGAAATGATATTTAACTTTTGCCAAATAAAATATATTGATTCTTTTATATTTTGTGATGTATTAAAATTATTAAGAAGAGGTTCTAGCACAGAACCACTGCGAGTCTCAGCCAGCAGGCTTGGCAGTGGAAGAGCAGCTGCAGAGGGAAGTATTTTTATTATTATTATTTCTGAGCCAAGGCAAACGGCTCTGTAAGCACAGAGTCGAGACGATAATTTGGGCAGATTTAAGTCCTAAGTGCATTTGCTTCCCTCAGAGCAGGCAAAGCTCGTGTGTCCCTCTTCCCAGTCCCCCCTTCCCGTCCCCCCCACCCCCGGATATAATTTCGTAAGCGGGTGCTTAGCAATGAAAGAAGGAGGCTCTTTCAGATACGAAGGGAACAAATACTCTGAAATTAGCGTATTTTAAAAAAAAATCCGGGCAGAGTGGGGGTATTCAAGACCAATCCAAAATGTCCGATGTTCTTCAGTGTGGGCAATAATGTAAATCAGGGCGACAGCGACATTTAAGCTGAGATATTTAATTAGCCTGCGAYAAAACGTCTAGGACTAAGTGTGCTTCAACGAGCTTTGTCCAGGGRCTCGCCTTATCCCTGCATCCATTTTAAATCCCCTTCCAGAGATAATTGCCCATGCAAAATATGTTATTTAAAGCGTCGCCCATTATTCTCTTCCCTTGCGTTCACATTTGTGATTTTTTTCCCCTTTTCAAATGTCCCTTGGCAAATAAAAACAATACGTTGTATTTTACTAGCCCCTTGGATTATATATGCACATATACACAGACACACACATATAAAATTTTACAGACAATTATCGTTGAATTTATGGTCTCGATTTTACTCGCTGGTTTAGCGCAAGGAAAGAGCCGAGCTGGCAGCAGGCTAGAGCCGGGAAGGCAAAATACATAGAACAAATAAACAAATAACATAAAATAAAGAAGGGCTCTTTCGGGTGGAAGATTTCTGTACCCACCCTTCATCACACGCACCCCTCCCCCGCCACCCTAAGCCAAACCGAGCTGAGAAATAAGAGAAAAATAGCCAAGTCAGTGAGCGGGTTGAAATTTACCCTTGTTTGGGGCGGACATCTTACTGCTCAGCGTGGATATCCTCCATAACATGATCCCACCCCACCTCTGCGCAACGCTGAGCAGTGCTGGCCAATATAGGGAAGAAGGGAAGCCTTGTTTTTGCACGAGCACATGCTTGCATGCATATAGATCTGCGTGTATGTATGTATTTATTTAAAGTAAAATAAGAGGGAACCCGCTTACGGTCTTGACAGAAGTTGTTGTTAGGAAAATTCAGAGACATGCAGTGCAATAAAAGAAAATGACTGCTGTAACCATTTATGGGGTGTAAAACGCTGCAGGGCTAAAGACAAAAAAAAAAAAAAATCTTTGGGAGCCGGCGAGATGTTTGCAGATGTGCAGAACTGCGGAAGAAGGACAACAACAAAAAATAATTCCCCTTTACCTTAAAAAAATAATAATAAAAGGAATCCGGAGTTAGAGGTGAGGAGCTCTAATTAGTGTCGGGGAACCGGCTCTGGTGGGCGCCCAGAAAGCCCCCTAATTGCTCCCCGAGCCGGTATTTGGGGATGCTGGGACGCCCTCTGTTGTTGCAGACGGAGGCGACTTCAAAGAATCGGCATTAAGAGTGTGTAATAAATGACGGGTCTGCAAACTGTCTGGAATTCGGCCCTTAATGAGTTTACAACTGTCCAGCCACAATTAAGATTTCCCACAAAAGCCTTTTCATTTGTTTTGTCTGGCTGTTTTAGATAAAGCGGGCGAGCGGAAATAACAGCCTTTTATTGCTCCC